ACTGGGGTCTCCAGCGGTTGAGCTTGGAGGTGGCCTCAGAGTTCCTTGCGCACTGGCCTTTCCTCCTGCCGCCTTCCTGTCTTAGCTCCACTAGTTTTCCCTGGACTCTGAACTTCCCTGACCTGCAAGGGGCACATCCAGTATTCTGGCAGTCCTGCTGCATTTATTCATTCAGCCAGCATTTGCTGTCCCTAGTCCCAGCTCTGCCGAGTGCAGCAGCCTTGTGGGCCTCCGCAGTAGGATACAGCATATGTAAATGTATTTGTTTAATGGATAGACAAATTTAACATATAGAGAGGACAGGAAGACCCCTTCTGGGACTCACAGCCCAGTTGGGTAACCCAGGGAACAGGTGAGATTGTGCCATTCAGACAGTTCTTGAGGGTGTGGTGACAGTTTAACTCTTGACGTCGGAGATGTGACCAGAAGAACTCATGAAGTGATCAGAGTGGTTCTGCCTGAGCTGACCCATGAGCCACAGTGCTCCAGGCTGTGAGAGAAAGAGACCCGGTGGTGAACAGAGCTGGACACCTGACTACACTCTGTTCAATGGAAAGTACTAAGCAGCCTGGGAACTGCGTACGAGGAGGGCGAGATGGGCAGGGGACCATGGAAAGAAGAGCGATTTTTATTTTAAGTGCAGCTAAAAGCTGTAGAATAGTTTTAAGGTTTGTAGGAAAAAACTTAATAGCTTTGTAGATTATTGTGGACAGTAGCCCCCCAGGCTGGGTGTCCACCCAAAGGAATCAGTCACTTGAAGTAATGTAGGCAGTTCCAGGTGTCCTTCCAGGCACCTGTATTACAGGGTTGTGTATGGAGCCTCTGGGATGGAGGTTGTCCGTAACCCTCAGTGAGGGAATCTGAAATTTCTAGGAAGGAGGTTCCTTGAGAATAGATGGATGGTGATTATGATTACAAAGGGCTCTCTGACCAACTGTGCAAGAGCCATGATGTCTGGGAGCTTTTCCTATTGCTGTTACCATGGCATGAACAAGGTTCATGAAAAGTCTACCAACCAAGTCTAAAAAGTGACTTTTTGTCTGACTGCACCCCCCAACTTCTGCCCTTATAAATGTCGTTTGACTAATATAGTGTGTGTCCATCTCCCTCCTTGAACCTTACTTGAAAAACCAGAGAAGTGGACAACCTAGTAAAGAGGTCTGGAATAGCCTCCCTTCCACTGCATCCTATGAAAAGAAAACAACAGGTATGTTATTGACAGGGCTGATTCTTGTCTAATTTTTATGCAGAAAAGGGGAGAAAAATCCATTTAAACCTACCAGGAGACTAATTAGTGGTTTGCTAACGTGTTTTGGTTTTGGATCGGTTTTTAGCATATGTGGCAGTCTTTGGTGCACATAGCTGTTTTATGTATTTTAACTGAAAACCTTGAAGGCACTAGCCAACACATTAGGTGGCCACCATCCAAATCAAATAGACCTTGTATTTCTGAGAGCCGACCTGCCATCCCAAGCTCCTAGAAACCTAGCCAGGTATGGGGCAGGCACCAACCTCTGACATCAATGCCCCACACCTAGATTCTCCTCTTTGACCCCTGCCTGTCCCTGACAGAAGGTGGGCCTGGCAGCAGCCAGCTGGGAACAAAGTTTACCCAGCCAAAGCTTTCTGTTTGCTTTTGTGTATCCTACACCTTGCCCTACCTTTCAGCCCACTTCACATTCCTTACAGCCTTGTTCTAGACTCCCCTGTAAAGAACAAAACTAAAGTTGAATTATTTTCCTCAGTGAACCTCTGGGTAGGCCTGATCTATATGTTTACACAACCTTGTTAGTGGTGTCCACATAAATGTGATTTGTCTCTCCTGCAGGTGTCATAGCTCTGGACAAACACCATAGCCCAATGGAATAAAATTGGCTTTTAGGTTTGGCCTCAAGGGCTTGGAGGTACCTGTAGGCCAGGCTGTTTCTGGCTTTGTGCTCCTACAATGTTATGTTCTATTTAGACTCTGTTTATGTCACCCTGAACTTAAGGTGTATAACTTAAATGATTGTGTGTATGTAATTTAATGTGTGTTTTTGGTTGTCTAAAGAAGAGTCTTGTATTAATAGGGAAAAGGAAGTAATTGGAAGCCAGGAAATTTTGTCTGTGTCTCACAACATGCTAGTTGTATGATCCTGGGAAGTCTGTTTACAAATATTCCCAGGGCCTTGGTGTAGTTATATGGATATGTCTTTGTATGTTGTGTGATATAAGTGTCAGCTTTGTTGGTCTCTGGTAATAGGATATTGCATATTTAAAGGTATTTTTAGTGGGTAGACAAACAGTAAAGAGTAACCTTTGCCTCACAATTTTGTATATGACTTGTTAATCTGATCATGTAGAACTTAGTTCTTAGATTAACATAGACCATGATAAAACTTAATTATGTCAAAAGATTTATAAAACACTTTCACATTTGCAAGGTGTTAGTATTGCTTTTGTGTCCTCACTATTCATCTTTGGAAGTAGCTGCTTTAGAAGTTTTTCTGTGAATACTTTTTTAACAATCACTTAGCAACAGGAACTTTGGGTTTTAGTAACCTAACAAAAGGAGGCCTATGAGAGGGCAATTGTTGGGTAAGTGGGCATTCCCAAGGTTGTGTCTCAGCCTGCACTTATTTCCTGGGTCTTCTCTCTGCTGCTGACTTCTTCATTCCTGATGTCAACTACTATCACCTTAATGCAGATAGTTCCCTAGTCCCAATCCCAACACTGTCATCTCTCATAGAACAGTCCCATTTCTGATTGTTGCTCTGCTGTCATTTAAAACTCAACAAGTAGAAAACCTGGCTCTGGATCCTGGCAAACAGCCACTTCCCAAATGGTCTACTTCTACTGGTGGTCATCACCCAGGTCCTGGAGCATCTTCTATGCCTCCATCTTCCCCTGACTGCCTGTTCTATCTTGGCAAATTAGTGAGTTGCTAAGGTGTCAGCGAGCCTTAGCAACCTTCTTCACTAGCAAGTATTGGCTCAGCGAGCCTTCTTCACTAGCAAGTATTGGCTCAGCAGAAGTTCAGCTCTGTTCTTGTATCAGAGGTTGGAGATTAGGGATGAATGGCTTGTTCCTTGCTGTCAGAGAGGCACTGTCTAACTGGAAGGAAGGGAGGCAGTCTACCTACAACTTACTCAGGGAGGGGAAGTATGTAAAGCATCAAGGATCCCAAGGGAGAAACCTCCAGCTGCCAGGGTTCAGAGTGGTGGTAAAAATCTTAAGTAGGTTTTACTGAGGTGTGGAGAATGGACCAAAAGAAAGGGTGCTAAAAAGAAACAGAATATAGCCCTGGCTGGTATAGCTCAGTGGGTGGAGCGTGGGCCTGCAAACCAAGGGATCGAAGTTCGATTCCCAGTCAGGGCACATGCCTGGGTTGTAGGTCCGTTCCCAGCACGGAACTCATGAGAAGCAAACATACATTGATATTTCTCTCCCTCTCTCCTTCCCTTCCCCTCTAAAGATAAATAAATAAAATCTTTAAAGGAAAAAGAAACAATATTTAAGGTAGAAAGAATCTTAATAAGACATGATATTACCTTTGTTGAGAGAGTAAGGTGTGACTAGTAACTTTAAAACAGTTTTGAATTTGATGCAATAAGCAGTCCCAGCCCTCCTCATTTTCCTCCCCACCACTGCCTTTAGTCCTGCCTCCACAGATCTCATTGCCTAAGAGCCATTAAAGGATTTTTTATTGTGATAAAAGTTATTGTGATAAAATAAAAATGGTAACATAAACTGTACCATTTTAAGTGTACAATTCAAAGACATTTAAGTACATTGTTGTGCTCATCACCACCATCCATCTCCAGGAAATTTTCATATTACCAAATTGAATCTCTGCACCCATTAAAGAGTAATTCACCTCCTACCTTCCCCCAATCGCTGGAACCATTATTCTTCTTTCTGTTTGTATAAATTTGACTACTCTAGGTACCTGATGTAAATGTAATATTTTGCTTGCTGTGTCTGGCTTATTTCACTTAGTATGTTGTAGCATATATTAGAGTTTCCTTCCTAGTAAGGCTGAATAATATTTTATTGCATGAATATACCACATTTTCTTTATCCATTCATCTATGAATGGACATTTGGGCTATGTCTACCTATTGGCTACTGTGAACAGGAGTGTGCAATAATCTCAAGACCGTGCTTTCAGCTCTTTTGGTGATATACTCAGAAATAAAATTATTAGATCATATGGTAATTCTATTTGTAGTTTTTTGAGCAATCTGCATGGTGTTTTTGATAGTGGTTGCTATATTTTACAGTCCCTTAAGGTTTTCAGTTCTTCCACATCCTTCCCAAATTTGTTCTTTTCTTTTTTTTTGTAGTGGCTATCCTAATTTGTGTGAGATGATATATCATTGTGGTTTTGTGTATCCCTAATGATTAGTGATGTTGAGCATCTTTTCATATGTTTATTGTATTATATCTTCTTTGGAAAGATCTCTGTTTAGGTACCTTTTTGAATTAGGTATTTTTGTTGTTGTTAAGTTTCAGGAGTTCTCTATATATTTTGGATTTTAATACCTTATCAGGTACATGATTTGCAGACATTTTCTTCCATTCTGTGGGTGCCTTTTTTATCCACTTTTAGTGACCTTTGATGCACAGATTTTTAAATGTTGATATAGTCCCACTTGTATATTTTTGCTTCTTTTTGCCTGTATTTTGGTGTCTTATCTAAGAAATCATTGTCAATTTAACATCATGAAACTTTTCCATGCTTTATTCTAGGAGTTTTATAGTGTTAAGTTTTACATTTAAGTCTCTTTAATCCGTTTTTGAGTTAAAAAATCTGTATATAATGTAAGATGGAGATGCAACTTCATTTTTTCCTATGTGGATATCCAGTTTTCCCAATATGATTTATTAAAAAGATTATTTTTTGCCCAATAAATGGTCTTGGTACACTTGTCAAAGATCATTTGACAATATGTATGAGGGTTTATTTCTGGGTTCTTACTTTATTCCACTGCTGTATTTGTCTGTCTCTATACCACTATTACAATGTGTTAATTACTGTAGCTTTGTAGTATGTTTGGTGCAGGGACTATGCTAATATTCTCTGTATCATTCCAATTTTAGTTTATGTGCTGCTGAAGAGAGCACTGTAGTATGTTCTGAAATCAGGAAGTATGAGGCCTTCGACTTTGTTTTTCTTTTTCATGATAGTTTTGGTGATTTGAAGTCCTTAGATATTCCATTTGATTTTTAGGGTTGGTTTTTTTCTGTTGCTGCCAGGAAAAAAAATCATCGCTGGGATTTTGATAAGATTGCATTGAATCTGTGGATCACTTTGGATAGCATTTACATCTTAACAATACTGTCTTCCAGTCCATGAACATGGGATAACTTTGTATTTATTGGACTCTTATTTAATTAATGCCTTTCAGAATCATTTTATAGTGTTAAGAGTCTTTCACATCTCCAATTAACTTTATTCCTAAGCGTTTTTATTTTTTGATGCTATTGTAAGTGCTATTGTATATTACAGTTTAATGATACTGTAAATAGAATTATTTGATGTATAATAAATGAAATTATTTTCTTGGTGTTCTTTTCAGATGATTCACTGTAGTATACAGAAACAACATTGTGTTGAGTTTGTATCCTGTAACCTTGCTGAACTTGTTTCGTACTTCAAACAAGTTATTTTCCTCCCCTGTGGAATTTTTTGGGTTTTCTATACAAAAGGTCATGTCACCTACAAACAGAAAAGTTTACTTCTTCCTTCCAAATTTGGATGCCTTTTATTTCTTTTTCTTCCCTAATTGGTGGCTAAAACTTCCAAATACTATGTTAAGTGGAAATGGGAAAAACAGACATTCTTTCTTGTTCCTGGTCATAGAATAAAGGTTTTCAGTCTTTCACCATTGACTATAATGTTAGCTGTGGGTTTTTCATTTATGAAAACCCTATTATGTTGAGCTAGTTTTCTTCTATTCCTAGTTTGTTGGTTGTTTTTATTGTGAAAATGTGATGGATTTTATTAATCTTTTCTGCATCACTTGAGATAATCATGTGGGTTTTTTTCCTCTTTTATTCTCTTAATGTGACATATTACCTTCATGGATTTTCATATGTTGAACCATCCTTACATTCCAGGATTAATTCCCACTTTATCTTGGTATCTAATACTTTCACTACATCGTTGAATTCAGTTTGATACTATTTGTTGAGTATTTTTGCATCAATATTTATAAGGAATATTGATCTTTTCTTGTTTTGTCATTTTGCTTGGATTTGTAGATCTATGTATTCTCTCAATTTTGAGAAAATTTCAGTCATTATTTTTTCTAATAACTCTCTGTCTCTCTCTTTTCATCTGAGACTCCCATGATGTGTATAATGGTCTGCTTATCATGCCCCATAAGTAATTTAAGCTCTGTTCACTCTGTTCTTAAGACTTTTCAGTGTCCAGTGTTCAAGTTTACTGATTCTTTTCTGCTCAAATCTGCTGTTGAACCCTGACAGTGAATTTTTCAGTTTGGGTATTGTATTTTTCAGCTCCACAAATTGATTTCATTTTACAATTTGTATCTCTTTGTTGATATTCTCATTTTGTTTTCATATATTCATACATTGTTTTCCTAATATTTTTTCAGTTTTTTGGTTTTCTTTACCTCTTTCCACATATTTAAGAGAGTTGTTTTAAAGTCTTTTTTAAAAAATATATTTTATTGATTATGCTATTACAGTTGTCCCACCCCCCCATTTATTCCCCTCCACCTTGCACACCTCTTCCCATCTGCATTCCCCCTTTAGTTCATGTCCATGAGTTGTACATATAAGTTCTTTAGGGTTTACATTTCCTGTACTGTTCTTAACCTCCCCCTGTCTATTTTCTACCTACCATTTCTGCTATTTATTCTCTGTACCTTTTCCTCCTCTCTCTCCCCACTCTCCCTCTCATAATCCTCTATGTGATCCCCATTTCTGTGATTCTGTTCCTGTTCTAGTTGTTTGTTTAATTTGTTTCTGTTTTTGTTTTAGGTTCAGTTGTTAATAGCTGTGAGTTTGTTCATTTTACTGTTCATAGTTTTTATCTTCTTTTTCTTAGATAATTCCCTTTAACATATAATAAGGGCTAGGGGATGATGGATGCCTTTAACTTGACCTTATCTGAGAAGCACTTTATCTGCCCTTCCATTCTAAATGATAGCTTTGCTGGATAGAGTAACTTTGGATGTATGTCCTTGCCTTTCATGACTTGGAATACTTCTTTCTAGCTGCTTCTTGCTTGCAAGGTTTCTTTTGAGAAACCAGCTGATAGTCTTATGAGAACTACTTTGTGGATAACTGTCTCCTTTTCTCTTGCTACTCTTAAGATTCTCTCCTTATCTTTGATGTTAAGTAATGTAATTATGATGTGCCTGATGTGTGCTTCCTTGGGTCCAGCTTCTTTGCGACTGTCTGAACTTCCTGGACTTTCTGGAAGTCTATTTCCTTTACCAGTTTGGGGAAGTTCTCCTCCATTATTTGTTCAAATAAGTTTTCAATGTCTTGGTCTTTCTCTTTCCCTTCTGGCACACCTATAATTCAGGTGTTGGAACAATTAAAGTTGTCCTGAAGGTTCCTAAGCCTCTCCTCATTTTTTTTTTGAACTCTTGTTTCTTCATTCTTTTCTGAGTGGATGTTTCTTTCTTCTGGTCCACACCTTTGATTTGAGTCCTGGTTTCCTTCCCATCACTATTGGTTCCCTGTACATTTTCCTTTATTTCACTTTCATAGCCTTCATTTTTTCAGCTAGTATGCAACGAAATTCAACCATTTCTGTGAGCCTCCTGATGACCAGTGCTTTGAACTGTGCATCTGATAGGTTGGCTATGTCTTCATCACTTAGTTGTAATTTTCTGGAGCTTTGATCTGTTCTTTCATTTGGGCTTTTTTAATTTTGTCTCAGCATGCCTGGTACATATAAAGGGCAGAGCCGTAGGGTTCACCATGGCAGGGCAACCCACCTTGCTTCATTGTGGTACTGTATGTAGAGGAAGGGTCCAAGAGGGGACAGTGCTACTTGCTCTGCTCTCTGCCAGTTTTCAGTCACTTCCTCGGATACCCACAATCAAATTGGGTCCTTCTGGTGCTGATTCCTGAGTGGGTAGATTTGTTTACATTCTAGGACCCTGTGGGTCTCTCCAGTGAACTCTCCTGTGAGGCTGGGGGTTTCTCCCACTGCCTCAACCCCCACAGGTGTTTCCAGTTGGAGGCTTTGAGGTTTTATTTCCCTACACTGGAATCCTGGGTTGCACAGTTTTCTCACTCCCCAGTTGTTCCTCCCAGGTTATCTGCACAGGAATGTGGGACCACCCTTTCTGCTAGCCACTGCCTTGCCTGCCCCGGTCCTCCAGCTGCCACCTGGCTGCGAGTCCTCTGCACCTGGCTGCGAGTCCTCTGCACCTGGCTGCCTGTGTCCATCCCTTCTACCGGTATGAATAGATGTTTCTTCAACTCCTTGGTTGTCCAACTTCCATATAGTTGATTTTCTGTCAGTTCAGGTTGCTTTTTGTTTTTACATTGTTGTTGTCCTTCTTTTGGTTGTGCAAGGAGGCACAGTATATCTACTTATGCCTCCATCTTGGCCAGAAGTCCTAATCTATCTAAAGTTTTTATCTAGTATGTCCCATGCCTGTTTTTCCTTAGGGACAGTTTCTACCAATTTTTCTTCTTAAATGGGTATTGTTTTCCTGTTTCTTTGTATGCCTTTTGATTTCTTTGTTTCTTTTTGAAAAATTGGGTATTTGAAACAGTAGCCATTTTCCCCAGTCTTTGTAGATTGGCTCCATGCTGTGAAAAGACCTTTATTAATTAGCAGGATATGTTTTAGCCTCTGAGTTAGCCTGGGGCAAAGGCATAAGCTCTTCTCAGGACTTCTTCTAAGCTTGTATCTTCCCTGGGCTTGTATGCATGCTGTTTTCAATTCCCCCATATACATAGCTGGTTTTAAATGTCTTAATTTCTCAATTTCACTTGAACTTCTCCTTGGGCTTGAGTTCTTCTATTGTATTTCTCCCACCCACTATCCTCTTGCCCCAGTCATATGTGGGTCTGCAGTCACCCTATGTCTTTCACAATAAGTACCTTGCTGTTTTCTATAGCTTTCCTCATCTGAGTTCCCAGTCAGACAAAACAGAGACCTGTCCTTCAGCAGACCCAAGACAAGTTAGGATGTTGCCAAAAGGTCTGCTGGGGGGTGCAGGGTGGGCAGGGGTTCCTCCCGCAGAGCTCCCCCAGACTGTCACGGATGAGAATAAATCTACCAAGACATGATCTACTTAGGGAGTCTCTCAGAGGAGAAGGGTCCTGAATATTTCTTTTCCTGTGTTTTTATTGAGTTCAGCTCACACAGAGATACATAGTATACATGTAAAACTCATCAACCAGTGCTTAAAAAGCTACACTCATGAGAAACTGATATCATTCACAGATAATAGTTGAAGAAACACAGGGATTGTCTCTGGTCAGGGTTGGCTTTAGCTCGAGTGTCCATTTCATAGCAACAGGGCAGAGCAAGCCTCAAAGGAAACAATACATATTCTTTCTCTGGCCAGATTCACCCCAGGAGGGAGATATCTGTTCCAGTACAAGGTTGCAGCTGCCTCTGACATAGTTCATAGGCTTAGTCAGGCAGGGAGAGAAAAGCAGCCAAGAGACTAGGAGACTTTTATAGAAAGACTAAGGACTCAGGCTATGACAAAGCCAAGGGGTGAGGGTCTTTCTGCCCCTTCTCTGTAGACCCCTAAGTCCTTCCCTGGTGGCCCATTGTGACTGTGCCTGTCTTAGGTTTCCCCTCCCCTTTTGAAGGGCTCTTACCTGTCATTTGCTAACCAGTCATCTGCCCAGGCCAAGCAGGGGGAAGTGAGGGAGGCAGGGGCTATGCTCCTGCCAGGGGGAAAAGTTCTGTCTCCTTAATGGCTGATGTCCCCAAGGCCTTTTCACTCAGCTCTAGCCACGGAATTCTTTAGTCTGTTAATGAGGCTACATTAACAGACATCCTGAAACCAGGCAGGATAGCTCCCAATAGTCTGTCTGCTCTGTTCCCTTCAGTTTGAGGGGAGGAACTAGGCATTGGTGCTTCTGTCTTCAGGTGGTTTCATATGAGGAGACGCAGGGAAGGGATGAGCCAACACCACAAAATTTCTTACCACACTGAATGTGACTTTTTCTCAACTGGACACATTTGTTTGGTTGCTGTAGATGTTTGACTGTTTTTCAGAACTCCTATAAAATATTTTAGCCAGTACCAATTTTTTAAATTATTCCATGGGGAAACAAGGGCCTAGAATTCCCAATTACACCATCTTGCAGATGTCCTCTCCCCATTAAAGGATTTTAAATAGGGATTTTTTGTGTGTGCCTGATGAAAATATGGAAGATGGATTGGGTGGAGGAGCTTCCTTTGCTGTTCTAGGTCAGGGTCTGTATTCTAGACCAGGGAGCAGTGGCACAAAATAGGCTAAGTCTGTCCCCTGAGGGTTCATAGCCTATAGGGGACTTAGGTCTTCAGGAACTAATCCCATAGACAGTGGCATCATGACAGATAATTATGATAGTAAGGCAAAAGGGGATAGGCAACTCAGAGACAGCATAATACGGGTGGAGGCTGTTTAAGTTGGAGGCAGTCAGAGAAGGTAGGGACAATAACAGTTCAGCAGAGGTTTATGGATGAGTACAAGGTTGGCCAGCTTGGCAGACAAGCATTCTAGGTATGTTTAACCATGTGTGCAAAGGGCCTGAGGCAGGCAGGACCTGAGTTCTAGGGACAAAGCAAGGCAGTACATTTTTAGAGCACCATAAGCAAGAGAAGCTGCAGAGGCTGGTAGGGGGCCAGGCTTGGGCCAGGTTGGTGACATGAGCTGAGGGCTATGGGAAGCTTCCATATGCAATGAGACCGAAGAGAAGCCTAAAATAAAGCAGGGAGAGGGCCTGGTAACGGTAGAGTTTTGGATAGGGAGGTTTGCTCGTTGGCACTGGTCAATAGAGCCTTTCCTGCAGCATTGCTCATGGAGGGGTTATTTTTCCTGCTCCTAGCCCAAATTTGGGTCATGGGCCACTGGAGATGCCTCTCCCCTAGGCTGGGCCACAGAGGCAACCATAAGTTTAAGTCGTGCTGCTCTGACCTGAGCTCTGGGGACCTGAGGACATCCATGTGTGGCTGTAGAATTAATTCCCCAAAAAGAGGGACCATAGAAGGCCCAGACTCTGTACTGTCTGCTAAGGACTGCTTTTGTTCTATTTTTTCTCCACCCAGACAGCCTCAAGGTTGGCATAAAAGCTACTGCAGTCTTGCCTCCTGCACAGATAGTCCTGGCTCCCACTTTTCCTATCCCCAGACAGTGCAATCACACTGTCATCTAGTACTCCTGCCTATCATTGTCCTTGGTTCCAAGGGACATTAACCCCTTGCTGAACTTCTGTAAAGCCAGCATTCAGTATCTGCATCCTGTTCTGAGCATATCTCACATCTCTTTGTACCCTGAAACAGTAGCATGAGGTGGCTTTCCTGTGAGCAGCTACATGTTACAGATAAGACCAGCCCAGTGCAAGGAGATAGCTTGCCGGTGGTCACATGGCTGCTGCAGTCAGAGACTAAATGCATACCTTGCTTTCAACCTGGCATTTCTCTGTCCCTTCCCTTAGGAATTTCCACTAAATTATTATAACAGAATTATGAAGGAGACAGTAGACATTCCTCAAGGGTAGGGGGACCTTGAGAATGAGGCACCTCATTTCTTGACCTTTAAAGACCGATGCTCCTATGTGGTGCTTTGCCCTAGAAGCTGATAATAAAACTTAAACACATGCCTCCATTTGGAGGTACATTGAACCAATATTAATGGTGCTGAATTAATTTATTTTGCTACTCAGGTAGAGCTTTTATAGTCCCAGCACATGGGCATTATTTCCTCCTTGGCAGGAATATGCTACATGAATGAAAAGAGGTAACTGTTGTTAAATTTCCAGGAAAACAGTGTTTTTCAGATTTCCCTGGATCTCACAATTCCCAAAGGACAGGATTTTAACTCTTGAAAAGTAAGTTACTTACTATATGGGAGAAAAAGTGAGAATTGAAAGAATAGATCAGATGGAAAGAATGGAATGTTCCATTACCTTGGAAGGTTTGGGGACATTACTTAACAAAACTTTTTAAAACAGAACAAGTCTAAAAGCTGTTTGTCTAGAACAGCACTTAGAGGGGAACATGCTCAGGCTGTGGGTCTGTTTCACCTCACCATCTGCAGGACCTATAATCTTGGACAACTTACCTAGTCTTAAAAACCTTAGCTCCTCTTCTATAATATAGGGATCACACCTTCTAGAATCATTTTGAGGATCAAGTGAAGTTTATGATTCACAGGAGAAAATGCAGATCATTTTTTGGGTCAGTATTTTTGTCCTTGAGCTCAGGGATTTCTGAGTCACCCAGGAACTCCATAGCCTAATATCTTTTTCCTGCCTCTCCCTTTCCATTAGCAGCTGTGGCGCAGTACTCAACAAAGAAATGAAAAAAATACTAAATAATGGGAATCTGAAGATGATGAAGGTGGCATACCCCTTGGGACTGTTTGTATATCTGTTCATCTGTATTGCCTACATGAAGTGGCACTGGGTCTCCACCACTCAGGCCTTCTTCAGCATCACTGAGGCAGCATCAGGGGACCACAGGAGACAACAGACCTGAAATCCCCTGGGAATGACTACATGTGGTCACAAGGTCTTCTATGGCGGGAAGTACTGGCACCTGAGTGCATATCTTTCAAATCACCTGGCAGCCTGGAGATATCCTGCCTGAGACAGAAAACCTTGGCTGTGCACTGCTTTTTTTTTTCTCTTTCTCTCACAGGGGACCTCTTGGAATCACCTCCCCTTAAAGATATTGGTTTATCAGGGTGTGATCTAGACTCCCTGCCTTAGACTCACCTGGAAATTTGTGAAAAATGCAGTGTCCCAGTGATGCTGACTCAGAGTATGGGCTGGGGTCCAGAAATCTAAATCTTCCAGGAGTCCCAGAATATTCTTACTTATACTAGTGTCTGGTTACCAGCTAAGGGCAACTGAGATCCCAAAAGGTTTGGGGGCCTGTACATTCCCCGCATGCACAGGCAGGTCAAGTAGCTGGGTTCATGATTTAGGTCAGAGGTTGTGTTGGTGAATTTAAGGCAGGAAATAACCCCAGATTCAGGAGAGTAGACCCAGGAGTTGAGGAAAGTCAGATAATTGCAAAGACCCAGAACCCAGGCCAAAACAGAGTTGCCAGTGGAGCCAGGCAACAAGAAGATGATACATAAGATTGGCCTCAGCAGTGAAAGTGGAGCTGGGACCAGAGCCCTGTCAGCTTTGATTCCTGAGGTAGGGCCTTCTGGAAGAGGGGAGAGTGTAAATTTGGGCATCTTCACTTGCTGGCTTCTATAAGGATACCCATATCACTGTCCAGCTTTCCACCCTGTTTCTCCTGCCTTTGATATCCTTTCCCAGCATCTCTTTGTGCCCATCTACTCTGAGGGTCATCTCTCCAGCTTCTAGCCATTGTTTCTGCTGACTACCTGGCAGGCCCACTTGTCAAACTGGGGTCCCCTCCTCTCTGCTGTGGGTCTTTGCTGACCTTCAGTGCTTTTTGAGTCCATGCCATTCTGTTCATTTAACTGAGCTTGTGATGCCAGATACCTTGAGTAGCTCTCTCCAAAGCCATCATGGCATATTTTACTTTTCATCTGCTTTGTTTTTAAACTTACTGCAAGTTAAATATATATGTACTGGACCTATCTACCTCCCAAAATGGTTTCAAAGCTAAGTTTAAGACAACACATGTCTGCATGTAATTTTTTAATAGTCATATTCCATAGTTTTATCTTTGGCATAAAAGTTTTCTGATATTTTCTCCTAGGTCTTTGTGTCTGAATTCATACCAGCATCCCCTGGCCACTGTAGGTTGTGAACACTTACCCACCTGTAGTTCAACCTCCTAATAATTTAAAACACTCATTAAAAAAAAAAAAGAATAAAACAAATATTGCTTAGAACTCTATAATGCATCTATCCCAGAATCAATTTCATATTTCCAGTTTGGAATCATGTGCCTTCATCCTCTACCTAATTAATTAGTGAGAATTAACTATTAAATTTAACTTTAAGCCCTGGCTGATGTGGCTCAGTAGATTGAGTGCTGGCTGGCAAACCAGAGGGTGGACAGTTGGATTCCTAATCAGGGCATATGCCTGGGTTATGGGCCAGATCCCCAGGAGGGGGCGCCCAAGAGATGACCACACATTGGTGTTTCCCTCTCTCTTTCCCTTGCCTCTCTAAAAATAAATAAATAAAATCTTTTAAAAAGTTTAAAAATTTTTAAACTTTAAATGGAGTGTTTTGAGACTTCTGCCAAGATGGAGGCATAGGTGGAGACACCGTGCTTTCTCACACAACCAAGTTTAGAGACAACTAAATATTAGCAACAGAAAACATAGCCAGAACACAGAAAATTGAACTTTTCAGAAGTCTGTTAACAACAAATTCTTCAGCCTGACTGTTAAGAGGGGTGAAATCAGCAGCTGGCAGAGCGGGGTAGCACAGGAAAACTCGGTCAGATGGACTCAGGTGCACAGAATCCAGGCGCAGGGTTGGACCTAGTGAGAGACCCAGCGAGTGACCTCGGGGAAATAGCGAGGGAGCAAGGCTGTGGGTTGACTGTGGCCACTCATTTGTGTGCAGATAGACAAGCAAGGGAGTGAGAGATTAGACGGGACCCAGAAGGTCCATGCTGCGAGCAGCAGCGGAGGGTGCTGCCATTTCCCTGCTCTGACCCCACCTCCACATACAGTGTCATAACCCAGCGACTCTGAGTGGCCCTGCCCTGGTGAACCACCTAAGGCTCTGCTCCTCACCCAGCAGCACGAAACAGCAGAGGGGGCTGACATTTCCCCACTCTGACCATGCCCCCACATACAGAGTCACAACCCAGCGACCTGGGAGTCCAAGGCTCCGCCCCTCATATTTAAGGGGCACGCGAACAGACCAAAAATGGCTCAAGAAGATCTCAAAGCTCCAGAGCCTATAAATCTAAGCAATGAAGAAATAGCAAAACTCTCAGACACACAGTTTAAAACACTGGTGATCAGGATCCTCACAGAACTGGTTGATTATAGCCACAAATTAGACAAATATATGAAGGCGAAACTAATAGAAATGAATGGAATTGCACAGGAAACCAATAGCAATGAAAAGGAAACTGGGACTCAAATCAATGGAGTGGACCAGAAGAAAGCAAATAATGGCCAAACAGAAAAGAGTCAAGAAGCAAGAATTCAAAAAAATGAGGAGAGTCTTAGGAACCTCCAGAACATCTTTAAATGCTCCAACATCCGAATTATAGGGGTACCAGAAGGGGGAAAGGAACAGCTACCAATGGAAAACTTATTTGAACAAATAATACAGGAGAAATTCCCCAATCTGGCAAAGGCAATAGACTTCCAGGAAATCCAGGAAGCTCAGAGATTCCCAAAGAAGTTGGACCCAAGAAGGAACACACCAAGGCACATCATAATTACATTAGCCAAGATTAAAATGAAGGAGAGAATCCTAGAAGCAGCAAGAGCTAAGGGGACAGTCACCTACAAAGGAGTTCCCATCAGACTGTCAGCAGATTTCTCAAAAGAGACCTTACAGGCAAGAAGGGGCTGGAAAGAGGTATTCCAAGTCATGAAATCCAAAGACCTACAACCAAGATTGCTCTATCCTGCAAAGCTTTCATTTAGAATGGAAGGGCAGATAAAGTGCTTCTCAGATAAGACCAAATTCAAGGAGTTCATCATCACCAAGCCCTTATTATATGAAATGTTAAAGGGACTTACCTAAGAAAAGGAAGATAAAAAAGATGAACAGTGAAAGGACAGCAAACTCACAGTTATTAACAACCACACCTAAAACAAAAGCAAACTAAGAGGAAAGCTAGATCAGGAGTGGAAACATAGAAATGAAGATCTCAAGGAGGGTTAGCAACAGGGGAGTGGGAGGAGGAGAAGGGGGGGGAAGGTACAGAAAATAAGTAGCATAGACAGTAGAAAGAAAATAGATGGGGGGAGGCAAGAATAGTATGGGAAATATAGAATCTAAAGAACTTGAGACACATGGTCATAAACTAAAGGGTGGGTAATGGTTGGGACGGGGGGGTAGGGTGGAGGGGAATGAATGGGGGAATAGAACAACCGTAATGGCATAATCAATAAAAAATAAATTAACAAAATAAATGGAGTGTTTTATATGCCAATTATACTTGAATAGAGTTAGTTTTTTTTTTTTAAGGTAAAGTTCTGCCTTGGCTGGATGGCTCAGGTGGTTGGAGCATCATCCCATACACCAACAGAGTGCAGGTTTGATTCTGTGTCAGGGCAGGTACCTAGGTTGTGGGTTTGATCCTTAGTCTTGGCACATATGAGAGGCAAGCGATTGATGTTTCTCTCTCTCATATCAATGTTTTTCTCTCTCTTCCTTTCTTTCTTTCTAAAATCAATAAACATATCCTTGGGTGAGGATACAAAAAAGTGTGGCTAATCCTAGTTGTATAGAGTTATATATTTCTGTATAGATTCATAGTTGTACCTTTTTAAAAATATGTCTTCCCTTAGGAACTCCCACCTTGACCCATGAAACCTTCAAAGCACTGCAGCCAGGTCTTTCTGCTTATGCTGATGATGTTGAAAAGAGAGCAATTTTCTCTTCTGTCTATTTTTTCATCACATTTGTCTTCTAACTGTATGATTTACTAAAGCCAGCTTTTTTCCTCTTGAGCACAGTTGACCATCTTCATCTGGGACATTTCATAGTTTAGCATTGTCAAAAAATGGAGGAAACTGGTAGCACATAAGTGCCCTCACCTCCCACTCTCCCACACACATAACCTGGCCATCCAGGTACTTCCCACAACAAGCACACATGTCACCAGAAGTCTCGATGCATTTCAAAAGCACTAGTGCTACAAATTTACAAAAAAGCATTATTAGAAAGCTTAATATTTTTTATTGTTTCAGTCCTTCTGATTAACATGACAAATGTAGACTAAGACAAAAAATGAAAGTTAAAAAAGTATTATGCAAAATCCACAAAACCAAATAAGTATAAAAGATTTAATTAAATTCACAAATAATGATTTTTGTTAGTTTGCAATATTTATACTTTGTGTGTGTGTGTGTGTGTGTGTGTGTGTGTTTGGCACTGCCACATTAGGGTCTCCATCAAGTACACCATACTACAGGGCCTCCTGGTTGTTACGGAAGTTATTCACCAACAAGGCTGCAACACATAACTTATTTTTCATCCCTGAAACTGCAGTGTAGCCATGACTTCATACAGTTGTAGCTCCACAGCATCTCCTGTCAAGCACTTATACTTCTGAAGTGCTTAAAGCTTATAACTACAGTAATGCAAGACACCTATTATTTCTACTAAGGCTCTCATGAAACCAGTCACTAATAAAGTAAGTTCCTTTTTTGGTTCCAGCATGTCTTAAATTAAAAGTTAATGTCATTATTGTCCACAGATGCATCCTGATCTAGACAGTGAAGTCATAGCCTTGCTCTCCTATAGTTTGGCTAAAAAACATAACCAAAATTGGTGACTCTAGAGTGACCATAAATTAGATTCAATTAAATGAGATATCTTTAGAATAAGCTCTGGATTTTTAAAATCTTAGTTGTTTCATTAGGCAACACACATTCAAATGGGATAAATTTCACAATGTCTTTGATTTCTTACATATTTTTCTAGAGCAAGTTTACATGGATAGGAGCAAATGTATCTGTATTCTTCTTCCCTCCTTTTTCATTTACATACATAGTGGATTGGCATTCACATTGTTGTGCACTTTGCTTTTGTCACTAAATTATATCACTTGAGTTTCATTTACCAGCAGTATATCAAGAGCTTCTTTGATTTTTTTTGCTGGATGGTTTGTACTTTCGCATGTACATTAATTTATAGAGCCATTCCCCCCCCCCAAAGACATTTAAGTAATGGCTAATCTTTTGCTCTTAACAGTACCAAGAAAGGTTGCAGCTTACTACATTATGTGCACTTCATTACCCACATGTGCAAAGATATCTCTTCAGTGAATTCTTAGAGTGTAATTTCTTGTAAAAGGACTGTACGTTTTCCCTTTGCACAGATATTGTCAAATTGCCTGGATGGTGTTGTACCTATTGACATGCCCAGCAATATTTTACCAAAGTCTCCCACATATCCCTGTAGACACAGGCAGGGCCTCTTTCAATATGTGGATCAAGCATTCTCTCAGGTAAAAAGGATTTGTTAGTGTAGTTATTCATGAAGTTTTAGCACTATGACGGACCCCAGAATTTGCTCATGATATTCAGGGGAGTCGCAACCTCATCTGAGGTTGCCAGGTGAGGGTTTTGGTGGTCAAGTGTATAGAAAAGGAGGCCCCCTCGTGTGCCTCACCCTGGGCTAGTCTACCAAGAACATATTTCTGTGCTTACCTTGTCCTTGTGCCCCACACAACTGCCAGGACTGCCTGAGTTGCAAGTGTATGCCCATTTGGAAAATTAGGGGAAAATGTAGTTGTAACTTAATAAAACCAAAAGGGTGAGGGAAGCATCTATGACTCTGTATGCTGAGCTTTGACGGACCCTATTTTACCACATTCACAGAGCACTCCAGGTATTCAAGAATTACTGGATGTTGCTAAGTAAGAAATTCCTTTTGACTTCTGGAAGACCACCCCCTTGGTCCTCAAGGCCACAGCTGGTTACCAGGAGAAAAGGCTCAGAATTTACTACAAAAGGTAATTTTATCCACTTTATCCAGGGGGTGGCTTACAATAATTGAAAACATTTCATATTCAGCCAGTGTCCAAATAGTCAGGCAGTCAGATACTTCCTGAGGAGGGAAATGTTGACACTGACATTGAGGAGGGAAACTATTAACATTGAATTGTTAATAGTGAGTGAATGATATTTTCTTTCTTAAGACATTTAAATTCTTTGTGCCTTCTAAAATAAATCTGTTTTTATAATAAGAACAATTTTGTTTTAAAAATTCACTGTGCTTTTAAAGGGCTTTGTGTCCTTCAAGAATATTCTGTCAAATGCTATGGGAACTGAATTCCTGACATTTCAGCTCAAGCCTGCTTGTTCTCATGGAAACTCAGTCTGATACTCAGATCCAACTACTGAGGAGGCCCTTTAGTCTCTTCTTGGCTCTCATATGTCCAGGGTATGACCCTAGGTCCTGCACAATCCCTGCAGAGGGGCTTTGAAACCCATCTTTAACAAGTGCTTGGAGGGTTGCTTTTCATCAGGCAAGTCAGAGAAACTTCTAAGCGAGATGGGTCTCCTAAATTCTCTTACTGTTTCTAAATGAGCTGCTAAATGGTGGATTGTTGCACATCTGTCAAAGTCTCCTATAAAAATTACACACTCAAGTAGGATTGTGGGGCACAAGTGCAGTTGTATTAATGGAACAGATGAAGGCAGAGTTGCCAGAAGTGTTCTGTGCAAGGAGTCTATCCCAGTGAGATGGACTATGCCCAGGGATGCTGGGAACACTCTGAGCTCTTTTCTGGTCAGATGCATGGTTGAAAAAGGACTGAGTGACTGTTCCATTCCAATTCACAATTTAACTGTTTCCAAGGATCTTCTTGGAGCTAGTGTTAATTAGATTCTCATTATTACTGGCTCAAAACCAGCGCAGATAAAGTTTCTGAAAATGACCATCTTTTCCATTTTAAGAACATTTAAAGAGAATGTTCAATTACTACTGTGTTGAGAATGTTGTATTTTTAATCCTAAGAGACCCTTAATAAGGTTCCTCACCAGTCCTGGTTTTAAATATGGCCTTAAGAGTTTGTATGAGGGAGGGGAAGGGGAATGTTTAGTTGTCTTCCAGCCTCTTTCAAAAGAGGAAGTTGATGAAGAATGGGAGTGAGAAATGTGACATTTGGCATAGTATTCTAGTTTTTTTTAGTATGGTATCTTCTAAAACTATCTGCCAGAAGCCACTGGATGGCATTATGAATAAATCTACTTTCTGTGGCTGATCTGAAGGCTGAAAGTAGTAAGGAAGTGGTCAGTTTGTGCTTCTGAAACCTAAAAGTAGTGATCTGAATCCTGTATTTAGTTTATAGCACCTCAAGAGATTCAAATGCTGTTTTGTGACTCTCTTGTAGGCATTTCAGACTGGATCACCATCAATTTTGTAACAGGTATGTTCACTGCATTGTGAAGGTTAACAACAGTTCAGACCCCATTCTTGAGAGCCCAGGGACCTCATTTCTACTCTTTAAAATACCCCCTCGGGGTTTTGTAGTGTTCTGGCCCCAAGTACATCGTTAGAATGGGTGGAGGTATCCACCTGGCTTGTCAGAGTGAGCACTTAATTCAAAGATATAAGTGTTAGGGAAGGGGTGATTCTCTGCAGTCCTGGGAAGGTTTCTACCAGCATAGCTCTACCTTCCTCCCACAGCAGAGTCCACCAGGGGTCCTGTCCTCATTTCTAAGAGAAGTTAGGACTTCTACTATTAAATATGATGTAAATACTAATCACCTTATAATTGAATTCCTCTGCAGTAGGTAGAACAAGGGACAGAAACTTCTGTTCTTGGAAACAGGCAGCAAGGAGTTACTTTTCTTAGATTAACTGAGTGTATGAGGATTTTTGTCCCTTTAATGTAATGATAGAAAAGACCAATGCTACTGACACATGTATAAAAAATAAAGAAGTTTCTTGGCCCTTTGGGAATGGAAAACCATGTTAAGTGACATCAGGAGCCTGAGCCTCAGAGCTCTCTTGGGGCATGTAGGAATATCAGAGATGTCAATGTCTCTGAGCTGTGAGTAGTAGATATAATGGGCCCAGCCACAGGTCAGTGTTGTCCTCTTGTTGTTCAAATTAAAGCCACAAGTAGTGGAGCTATTGTTCATACTCTTAAACATGTGGTGCATCTTTACATGGAGAATTTCTAATAGCTACAGTTACTTCTCTATGTTGTTTTTCTTTTCACGGAAGGGTCTGGCTTCTAACTTATCTTTATTTTCTTCTACTGTACTAATCTGTTTACTAATGTGACAGTGATGGGCTGGTTTTTACTCCCTGTGCTCCAGGCAGTTTGAAATCCCCAGGAAGCAGCAGTGTGGGCATGCTGGACTTGGGGAAAGGGTCCACTCAGATCACTTTCCTTCCAAGAGTTAAGGTAACCAGCCCCTGCTAGGGGCCCCACCCTCCAAGGCTACCTCATGTAAAGGCCTGTAGATCTGGTAGCTCTGGGCCTATGCCATCAGTACCTCACCTGAAAGTCAGATCCATTCAGTTAATGTTTCCTAGTTTGATTTTAACTCTTCCTGGAAAAAAATAGAAATTTGGTTTTTAGTGGGATGATAAAGTATATATTACTGGAACTCTTTAGGCCAGAATGTGAAGTAGGTCCTCTCTTTCTCTCCCTGACAACACCCTCCTCACCCACCATTTTTTTAATTATTATTTTTAGTTTTCGACAGCAGAGAACTTATGAAATTTACTCATTATTGTTTTGGTTGGGCCGTATTTGTCAGAATAGGTAAATGTTACTCATAAGAAGGAAAAACCTTGTTTTTTACTTTGGATGTTTTATTTTACATTTTTGCTCCAATGGAAAGCTTAATTCGACTTAATGAAAAGCTATTTTATTTTATTTTTTATGTGCTGGACACTGTTCTTTTCTTCTTTTTTCATTACTATTTAGTCCTCTTTTACCCCCGTCTTTGCCCCCAGCAATTACCACACTGCTGTCCATGTCCATGAGTCATTTTTCTGAAAAGCTATTTTAAGTGAATACAGCTGTGAATATCCCTGTTTTTTCAAATGAATGGAGGGAATGGGGAACAGTTTTCTAGAAAATCCAGCAGGAAAGATAGTAACCCTCATGTTCTTTCCCAGGACACCCTTCAGACCTCCCCACCCAGCTGCTTGACATCACTGCAGATTTTTAATAGGACCTACAAGCTCTACTCAGACGGTTTGTCTTTAGGAGCGAGGGTGGAAAGGTTGACCATCTAGGCACAAAGTTCAGCTAGCCCTGCTCAGCCTCCCTCTTGACTCTGAGTCCTTGCCTTATGGAATGACTATAGTATTCAGGCACAGACCAGCTAGGTCCTGGATGCCTCCTGCTGTGGTCCCACCTGGAGCCTCTTGCTCCTCTCCCGCTGCTCCTTCCTGTTTCTCCCTTCTTCCTTTATTTTTTCAATTTTTCTACAGCAAAATTACATTTCTTCTTTTATTCTTATTTTGTTCTACTTTGGAGGAGGTTTTTAAAGAAGGGGGGAAGAACCTATAGATTCTGTGGGAATTTTCCAGCATCCACACGGCATCTTCAGTACATTTTTTCTGTAAAGAACATGTGAACCATCAAGATCAGGGTTGTGTCTGTTGCATCCACCAATGTCCACAGCTCTTAGACAAGTTCCTGTCAAGTAGTAGGCTTTCATTTGTTGAACCAGTTAGCTGAATGCCCTAAACTCCACAAAGGGAGGCTTCCCTAGAAGACGTAGAAAAGCCTGCTGCCTTGCCACATTTGTTTTGGACCCAGGCCAGATGAATATATTGGAATCAGAGTTGAGGGTGGCAACCAGCACCTCCTGTGGCAGGCTAGCTCCTCACCCAGGATTTTCTTTCCACGGCTATCTGGGACTTGGATTGATGTCAGCTGGCGATTCTGGGCGGTGCAGAGGGGAAACCTGGTGAGTAGAATACAGTGTTGAGAGTTCTCCTTACTCAGCAGGCATGAGGAGTCCTTTGAGAAAGTTGTGCCTTCTCCTCCCTGCACCTCCACTGACACAGCAACTCGCTGACCCCTGGCCTGTCCTCCCTGCCAACAGGACTTGGGGATCCCAGGAGGGACTTGTGCTCCAGATCTTGTCATTGGCTACACACACTAGCCAGTGTGTTTTACCTGTGTACATTCCAAGTTATTTCTTAAAAGAAAGATGCTAGTAAAGTCATTTCTGAAATACCGAGCTGGGAGATTTTAAAATCTCTAACAGTTTGTCACCTACATTTGGAGTCTTCTTGTTTTCAAGGATTTCAAAAGAGAACCTTATTTTTCAGGATAGTACAAGAAAGGGGCACAAGGAGGTATGATTCAAGCTGTTGCCATGGGGCTGGAGGACTTGTTCTCTCATTCACAATGATTCTAGCCTTGTGAGAACATCCCTCTGTCTTCTCTTGCTTTATCATAAAACAGAGGCTTGACTCTTCCTCCAGACCTAGTATTGGACTAGAGATGAAGCCTGTGTTTGGTCAGGTTATTAAAGTCACATTTACTCCCAGTTTTTTTGCTCCCTCTTCATAGGCCTGGCTGAGGAGAAGCCCATCATTGACTGAGTAGGTCTTAGGGATCACTGTGTCCCAATTCAAGAATGACTGGACATGGCTCTGAGGCTAGTATCTTCCTTTCTATTCTGATGACATTGGCAGGAGCCCCAAAGACCTTGACCCCATGGGTCTGGTCCAGACTTTTGCACAAGCGTACTCATGTTCTCCAGCCACACACCCTTCCTTTGGCCCTGCCAGTTTGTGCCCCCTCTGTCTCGTCATCCCCTCATCCCAGCACTTCTAACTATCTCTTCCAAGGGCCTGGTTGTTCTGACATGGTGAGAATGTTCAACTGAAATTTTTGTTTTTCTATGTACCTCCTGTTTCTGTTCATTTCTTTCAAATTCGGGTGTTTAGACTCATAATGATATCCCCTGGCAAAACAAAAAATACATCCACATCTCAGAAACACCCGTGACCTTCACTCTGGGTCCAGAAAATACCTATTTAGCCAGTGAGAAGAAGGCAAGCACCAGTTTGTCCAACCATGGCTGGCATCAGAGTCCCATCAGCCCTCCCCTCTTGGTAGAGCAGGTGAGAGGCTACTGGTCTTCTTTTTTTTTTTAATTAAAATCCAATTTATTGGTCTATTATTCTTTCTGTTCCATGACCTCTAGAATAGTTTGCCTTGTAGTGTAAAGATCAGTAAATATGTTTATATGTATACATACACATACCACATACAAATATACATACATATGCATATGTATACTAACCCACAAAAACATGTTATATTTTACATGAATGTATATACTGTATAAAAACAGTGCATATATACAGATATATAAAACAATACAAGCTATGGTATTTTTAGAAAAACATTTTATGATTTACTTATAAAATGCACTATTTTTATGAGAATATTTCTTTTTTTTAATGGAAATAACTTGTATTTTATTTTTTTATGATTTTTTAAAATTTTATTTAGTTATTTTTCAAGTACAGTTTTTTGTCTATTTCTCCCATCCCAGCCTCCCCCGCTCCTTGCTCCCCACCTCCCTCCCATTTCCACTCCCCTTAGTTCTCGTCCCTGTGTCCTTCCTATTTGTTCCTCCAAATCCCTCCCCCTTTTTCCCTTTAACTTCCCTTCCTTCTCCCCTCTGGTCACTATCCCCTTGTTCTCTATTTCAGTGTCTTTGTTTTTTTTTTCCTGCTTGCTTGTTTGTTTTGTTGTTTAGCTTCCTGTTAAAGGTGAGATCATATGGTATTTGTCTTTCAGCACCTGGCCTATTTCACTCAGCATAATGCTTTCCAGTTCCATCCATGTTGTTGCAAAAGGTAGTAGCTCCTTCTTTCTCTCTGCAGCATAGAATTCCATTGTGTATATGTACCACAATTTTTGATCCATTCATTTACTGATGGGCACCTAGGTTGCTTCCAACTCTTGGCTATTGTAAATTGTGCTGCTATGAACATTGTGGTGCATAGGTTCTTTGAAATTGATGTTTTAGGATTCTTAGGATATAATCCCAGCAGTGGAATTGCTGGGTCAAAAGGCAGGTCGATTTTTATTTTTCTGAGAAAATTCCATACTGTTTTCCATGCTACTGGTCTTCTTGACAGGCCACACAAGTGCCTGATTGGGACAAATGGGGCCATGACACCCACTAAGAGGGATGTACCCCAGAGAATGAGTCTCCCTGTTGTGTTATCTATTGTTTCACAACAGATCCATTACCCACCAAATTAAGTGGATGCAAACAGCAGTCATTTTTATTGTTGTATCTCAAGATTCCATAGGCTTCATCTAAGTGACACGTCTACTGAAATCTCTGGGGTCCCATGTGGTGGCATTTAGGGTGGATGGGCTGCACATCTGCACCCTGGCATTCCTCAACATGGCCTCTTCCCAGAAGAGCAGCTTGCGCTTCTCCCTGGCAGCTCAAAGGAAGGAAGACTACCTGAGTCACAGGACATCATGGCTCCTGTACCTTCTGTTGGTGAAAGCAGGCCCAGGCTGGAATCCAGGATGGGGACAGGGACCTACTTCTTGGTGGGAGACCAGCATGAACATCCTCAAGGGGTGGCATGGTGGGGCCAGCCTTGGAGGCCAACCACTTTATTGCCTTTGCTAAGTATGGAGCCTTAGGTTTTGTGGAGTAGCACAGATTCGTGGCATGGTAGCACTCACACCATCATGGCCCTGCCTCAGTCATCCATAAAATTGGGTAACAATGGTTCCCTTTCTATTAGAGTCCTTGTGACAATTCATTGAACAGCACTAGGTGTGTGGTCTTGAACCCTGAAGCCCCTCAGTGAATGAGGGCCGGGAGTGGCCATGTTTCCAGAGCAGATGAGGCTCTGTTACAGCTTCTATGATAAAGGCTTTTCCTTCCACAGCTGATCTGGAACACTTCCAGGACTCAGGTCTCACCTTTAACCTTCCATGCCTTTAGTATTAGCCTAAAATACTCTGTCCTCTAAGCCTCCCCTCAGTATCATCGTGTCTCTCAGGTCCATGCAGTGCCCTAGTCTTACAGTGACAATGTGCTTTTCTTTTCCTTTTTATCTTTTTATTTCAGTAGAGGGTGGAAAGGAGTTGGTCAGCCCTTGTTTGTCTTCCAGTTTCAAAGGAGAGTGGGAACATGCTGAAATAACACAGAATTTCAGCACTAAAGGCAGATACTGTGGATTTATCCTTCATTGGCAGCTTATAAGGGTTAAAAATGGCAGCCTCCCCTCTCCAAGGATCTCTTAGAAGCATGAAAACTGTCATCAAACCTCCTTTACAGACAATCTTGTACTTGTCCATGAAATGGAGGCACTCTTTGAACCAAATCAGGACTCTGAGCAGCCCACTGGGATCTGCCAACTCCTGTGAGGTCTCTGTACAGGGCTTCCTTGTCTATTGCTAAATACTTCTAAAGGACCAGATTTCCCACCAAGCCTCCAGTAAGAAAGCACCTGAACATCCCAAGTCTCTAAGACAATCAGCAAGCTTGTTTCTGAACAAAGGGAGAAATGGCTTCTCATTCTCCCTCCTTTAGGACAAAGGAGGCTCATCCAGGCTTTAGAGTCCCTGAAGCCCTGTGTTGGTTTCTCACCAGCCTGGCTCTCTCACCCCACATGGTCTTTGTTGCTGTGTACATTGTGAATGTCATCTAAAAGAAATATTGAAATATTTTTCTCAGGCTGGACACATGAGCATGGTGTTTGTCTGCCTTTGATGATAGAGTTGTTTCTAATCTTCTGACACCAAATGTGTGGATTTTCTGTGCCAATTCTCCAAATATTTGATTAAATCCTTGTCCATTTGTGATTAATTCAATCCTTAGTTCCTCACCCCTCTTCCCTGGATGTTGGGGTGGGGAAGTTCCAACCCTCATTTCACCTGGTAGGTTCTTGTAACAACCATCTGTCATTCTGTAGCCATCTAGGAACCAGGAGTCACCTCATTAGTATAAGCTAAGGTCTGCTTAAAAGGGGCTTATTATGAATAGCAGAAGATGAAACTCTCACCCCCATCACTTGAGGATCTTACAAGAAATTTTAAAACTCTGTATCAGAAACCAGGAACAAAGACCAAATATGTTTTTTATTATCCACTGACCATGTGCAGGTTACTGACCCAGCCACTTGTGCACATGCCATTTGTCAGGCCCTGGCCCAGCCACTGGGCACACAGCAGCAGTGCCCAGTGCAGACAGGATCTGTGGCCAGGTGGAATAGAAGGAGTCAGACCGTAAAACACATGTGAAAGTGCTTTGAATAAAAAATAAAATAGGAGGAGATGGGGTGCCAAGGGAGAGATTGTAGTTTTAGATAAGACAACCAGGGAATATTTGAGATCTGATATGAAAAGATTCAGAATGAACCACACAGATTGAAAGCTGTAGAAGTAGCACATGCAAAGGCCTTGAGGCAGCTGCTGTGTTTAAGGAACAAGGAGGAGCTAGTATGACTGATAAGAAAAGGGAGAGTGAAGGGAAACGAGGTCTGGAGAGCAAGGAGTGGCCCTGTGGGCCATGGAGAGAATTGGATAGAGCTGTATTTAGATGGTAGATCAGGTTTTGGAGAATGAGCATGGGAAACTTATCCAGGCATGGGCTGTAGGTCATCCAGTCCCTTAACTCTGGGTCATGTGTTTTCCTTCCAAGCAAGAAGTTAATGGCCAGTCTTGTGAACTTGCCAAACTGGCTATTAGGCCACAGTTTCTTGATCTGTGACATAAGGAGAGTGCAGGCCTCACCTTCCAGGTGGTTGATAGGATGGAGTAAGATGCTGCATGTTCAGAGTTCAGCACAGGGCTGGTAGAGGCTGATTTCCTTTCAACACATTGAGTAGCTGCCTCATAAGTCTCAGGTGGGAGACACTTGAGGACCCTCTATTGAACATTGAGGTTTGGAAGAACATTGAAGAAACCAGTTGCTGTCTTTAATAATTGGGGACACAGCTATTGGTGCCTCCATCCCAGGGAATGACACAGAGGTCTAGGGCTGCACCCTCCTGGAGAGCTACATAAAGGTTCTGCCCATTTGTTTTAAGACCTAACAAACAGCTCCTCACTTTTTTTAAATGAGATTTTCTTTTTCACACTCAGGAAATTGATACCAGAATACTATTGCTGAGCCTTGGGAAACATTTCTAGTTACTTTTCTTTATTTAAAGTTAAAAATTGGGGTCCAGGGATCCTGGTGAGCTTCCTCTGGTATCCCATATTAGATCCCTGATGTGCCAACCATCTCCATGTGGTTCTCTGTGGAACACCTGCCTACCCCAAGTTGTTTCAGGCACCTCAGAAACCATGGTCAGTGTGTGGGGGTCCACAGCCCTGCTTACAGCCAGACCTTAAACATAGGCCTGTGCCTCTCCAGGCTCTCCATGTGCTAGCCTTGGGAACTCAGTGGCATCAAGATTCCTATAGTGGTGGTATAGACCAGACACTTGGTCTTGTCTCACAGATGCGGAGAAAGAAGGCAGCCTAGTCATCGGAGACTTTGAGATTGTGGCCAACTATGGTGAGTGGCTACTGCACTTACCTGAGTGAGAATGGCTGGAGCTTGAGGCAGGTACAGTGTCCCAGCTGTGACAGACATGCTATGGTGCTTGTGACAGGCAGTAGTCCAGAATTTCTGGATTTTGTTCTTGATTTTCTCAACCAGATGAGCATTCAGAGGTGTGAGAGTACAGAGTTGAGAGTATACTTGGGGTCACCATGCTGGGCCCAGGCCACGGGTCCGTCACATCCTGTGTGGCCACAGGTGGTGGAGAAGGGGGCCATCTCTGTCCTGAGCTATAAAAAGTCCTTGAGTTATGAGGAATGGACTCCCTTGATTTCACTTTTCCTTACATCTTTTCACAATGACTTAGACTGATTTTCAGGGGAAACCCTAAGAGTGATTTCCCCTCAAAGTATCCCAGTAAATTCAAAATTGTCACCAGAACCTAAAGAAGCCAGAGACCCCTGCACAGCAGAGCCTGGCATATGGGGGATGAAGAAACTTTTTCTCCATGGGGTCACAGGTGGTTGATCCTGCAGCTCTGATCTGTGTCTCTTTCCTCATCATCTCATATTCACCCCATATGTTTTGGCATATCCAGCCAAACAGGATATGAAGTGAAGTCTCATCATAGATTTCATGATCTTTGGATGTCATTCCCAATTGCAGGTTGAAAGAGTTATCTTTGTATGTTTCTCCATAGAAAGTCCTTCCTCACTCACAAAAATGGCTTGTAAGCTTTCTTGTTACTTTTGGGTTTGTCTCATGGACACTGGGTGTCGATGACTTTTCAATAGGAAAAGGTACTTAGCAGAATAGGCTATTGGTGGGTTTGTCCATCCCCCTTGAGAATAAGAGTACACTGTTCTGAGCCAGCTTTTATGGTGTTTTCATTCCTCAGGAAGCCCAGGTCTGTACCTGGGAGAAGCATCCAGGGTCATGGGTGTAGAGATGTGGCCTTCTACCCATGACACAGAGAGGGAGGTCCTGCCCTGTGGAAACCAGTCTGGCCTCAAGACCCTGCCTCTTGATGTGCTCTTGGTGGGTCACTGCCCTGTTCTGAGCTGCAGGCTTGTTTAAATGAGCAATGAGGACCTAGAGCTAGCACAGAGCCTGGTAGAGTGGATGCCTGGAATGGATGGAGTCAGGTCTGTGTGCATCTAATCGCTACCATTCAGGAGTGGGAACCTGACTGGGAACCAGCTGTCTCACACCCAGTGTGCCAGATAGTGGTGACACAACCACAGAGCAACCCCTTCATGTGCATGGATCTCACCTACATCAGCTTGCTGCTCCGAGAATTTGGCTTCCCGAGAAACAAAGTACTGAAGGTAAGGATTCACTTCTTGACTTCCCCTGTGCCTTTCATGACCTGAGGGGTCAGAACACTGCCTCCTGCCTCCCAACCAGCCTGTCCTTTCACCAGTATGCATGTTCTCCTCTGCCCATCCTTTTGTTTTTTCCAGCTGACTCAGAAAATCAATGATGTTGAGACCAGCTGGGCTCTGGGAGCCATTTTTCATTACATTGATTCCCTGAATAGACAGAAGAGTAGGGCCTTGTAGTAGCTGAGCTGCCTACTGTTCTCACAACAGCAGCTTTGTCTCTGCAAGAACAGACCCTTTTGAATCCTTTGATATGTTGGGAGGAGGCGATAGCTCAGGCCAAGACTCCTCCCTGCAGCCTTGCAGACATGCCCCGAGAGGGGCAGAGGAGTGGAACTTAGCTCAGACCCAACACCTCCTCTTACCTGCCTCAGCTCCAGGTGGGCAGTGAACCAGACAGAGAAAGGGTACATACCAAGGTCAAGATAATGTAGTTGCACTGTCCCCGTCTGTAGGATTTGGCAGCTGTGATATTTATCCCCGTGACTGGAGTCTTGTTTTGGGTCCTTGGCCCTGTCTACCCTCACTTCTCCAAGGCGGACCTCTACTTTCTCCCCCAGAATCAGTGGGGTGGTTGTGCAGGCTGTCCTGGCAGCTCTCAAGGTGAGCCAAGTTGGAACCATCATGCCCTCTGAGACAGAGATAGTGTGTTGGGCAGGTTGCTGTGAACTCTGGACTTAAACATGTTTGTTCCTCCTTGGGTGTGGACATGTGAAGTAATACAGAGGTCTTTTTCTTTTCCTCGGATGGCTTATAGTTAACTGATGGAGTTGACATTATGAATAGATGAAGGGGTTAGGGGAAATACCTCTTAATGGCCTTCATGTGCCCCATCTCTTCAAGGAAGGCTGAATGTGAACATGAACTGCTATAAAATATTTATGGCTGTGCTGTGTGAGTGGCATGTCTGTCGTGGAGTGCTGAGTGCTTATGTGGCCACTGTATTGTGAGCCCCAGTGAATGTATTGCTGTCATGTACCATGTGCAGCCAAGCATTGTCAGGAGACGCAAGCCCTCATAGATCAGCCAGCTCTACAGTCTCTAGAACTGCCCTCTTGAAACTGCTCTCTTCCTCCTCAAACTCCACAGGACACTGACTCAGCCTTCCAGTGTCTGTAGTACAAGTGTGATCCCAGATTCACAGTTGTTCTCTGGTGAATGTAGTGTACACAAGATAAGCTGAATCTCTTGTGTTCCATTTATAGTAAAGGTTTAGCAATTACCAAGGGTTACTGCTCCTCTGTGATTCCTTTCAGTGAATAACTAGCAACAATCATTCATCCACCTAACACTGAGGGCCCACTCAGATCTAGGTCTAGAGGCTTTCAAATCCCAAACTGTGTGCCACGTTGCCTCCAAAGTTAAAGTGTCTCCAGACAAATTTTTCCTCATTATATCAGACCTTTACACACAGCTGTTCATCAAAAGTAGTTCTCTCCACTAAAGAATCAATCATTGTAGTAATAATGAACTTTGTAATACTTAGAGAAATAGTTATACAGTGAAGAGAAATAACTGGCTTTGGGCCTAACTGCTCCATTATCATTTTCACAGCCTCTGATCTGAAAAGTAAGCTTTTCAGTGTTGATTGGTGGATAAAGTGCAGCCCTGTAAGTCTTAGTATCTACCTCAAGATTTACATGGTTTAGAAGCAGACATTTCCCTGTAAGACTTCCTATCTTGAAAAGCCTCTCTGAAGATCAGAAGAGTCCTAGAGCTGCATTCCTGCAGCATAGAACATAACTTCAAAGGCAGGAGGTGGATATAACTTCAACAGGTATGGCTGCATTGTTCCTCCAGACCCACCCAGTGGATGGCTTAGGGTCAAATGGTTTTGAAAATCAATAGGCCAAAGCTTAAAAGCTTGCAAAGACTTACTCCAAAGTAACAAGGAGAAATTTGAATATAAACCAGAATTTTCAGCTTTCTGGGGATAAAGATATTTCAAAGGATTTTTTTAAATGACTCCTCATACATTGGAATATTATTTTGGAATAAAAAGGAGTGAAGTACTCACACATGCTACAACATGGATGAATCTTGAAAACATTAGGCTAAATGAATGAAGCCAGACACAAAAGGTCTTATATTGCATTATTACATTTATATGAGGTGTCCAAAACAGGTAAGTCTAGAGACAGCAAGTGGATTGGTGGTTGCCGAGTGCTGGGTGAGTGAGAGAATTGGAAGTAAGTGCTAATTAGTCCAGATGCAGGGTTTTTTAGGGGGTGATGAGAAGGTTCTAAACTTACATTATGGTGGTGGTTATGCAACTTTAAACTACCAAAAAACACTGAATCATGTATTGTCAGTGGGTAAATTTATGGTATTTAAATTATATCTCAATAAGGCAATTTTAAAAATGAGGAGTAGAATTCCAGGGAAGCAATAGCCTAAAACAGTAGGTTTCCATTTTGTTCCATTCTGAAATTATATAATCTTCTTTCAAACCATAGACTTTTTCAGTCGTTCTGGTATTTGCAGAGAGAAGATCTGCAAAGACCACCAGGCTGGGAGAAGATTCCCTACCTGAAGGAGGAGTCAGCTCTGTGCCTTCCAGGTGAATCCCTGGGTCCTGCAGGTGCTAGGTGCATGGGGAAGGGCCCTCAACTACCTCTTGAATAATGAAATGTGTAAAAGAAAGGGAAAACTGAAAACCCTGGAATTGGGAACACTGACCTTCCTTCCCAACCCCTGAATTTTCACACATTTTATTAATAAGAGTGCCTGGCCAGGACTCTGCCCAAGCCAAGCAGTGAGGTTAAGGGTCAGACAAAGCAAATAGGCTTTGTTCCAGAAGTCCTCCTGAACCTCCTTTGTGGATGGACACAAGGGCCTTGTTGCTTCCTGAAAGCCTAGATTAGCAAAGGCTGCCTGTTTTCTGGAGGCTATGTCTGCTACTTTAGATTTCTCTGGCTTTCTTACTTCTGACTTAGTCACTTTTGTTAAAGATTTATTTATTTATCTATTTATTTTTAGAGAGGGGAAGGGAGCAAGAAAGAGGGAAAGAAACATGGATGCTCACATCAATAAGTTGCCTCTCTCATGCCCCCAACTGGGGACCTGGCCTGCAACCCTGGCTCATGTCCCAACTGGGAACTGAGAGGAATTCCCTGTAAGACTCAGAGGAAAGACTCAGACTCAGAGGAATTCGCTGCAGAGGAAATAGACTTCCAGGAAATCCAGGAAGCTCAGAGAGTCCCAAAGAAGTTGGATCCAAGAAGAAACACACCAAGGCACATCATCATTACACTAGCCGAGATTCAAATGAAGGAGAGAATCCTAGAAGCAGCAAGAGATAAGGGGACAGTCACCTACAAAGGAGTTCCCATCAGACTGTCAGCTGATTTCTCAAGAGACCTTACAGGCAAGAAGGGACTGGAAAGAGGTATTCCAAGTCATGAAAACCAAAGACCTACAACCAAGATTGCTCTATCCAGCAAAGTTTTCATTTAGAATGGAAGGACAGATAAAGTGCTTCTCAGATAAGACCAAATTCAAGGAGTTCATCATCACCAAGCCCTTATTATATGAAATGTTAAAGGGACTTACCTAAGAAAAGGAAGATAAAAAAGATGAACAGTGAAAGGACAGCAAACTCACAGTTATTAACAACCACACCTAAAACAAAAGCAAACTAAGAGGACAGCTAGATCAGGAGCAGAACCATAGAAATGAAGATCACATGGAGGGTTAGCAACAGGGGAGTGAGAGAAGGAGAAGGGGGGAGAAGGTACAGAAAATAAGTAGCATAGACAGTAGATAGAAAATAGATAGGGGGGTAAGAATAGTAGGGGAAATACAGAATCTAAAGAATTTGAGACACGTGTTCATGAACTAAAGGGGGAAATGGTGGGGGAGGGGTTTGCCGGGTGGAGGGGAACGGAGGGGGGAATAGAACAAATGTAATGGCATAATCAATAAAAAAGTTTAAAATAAATAAATAAATAAATAAAGAAAGAATATTTTCATTGAGGTAGTTTCATAAGGTACAATGCATAATTCAAATATATAGTTCAAACAATTTTAACAAATATACCATGTAGCCCACACCCCTATTCTGTCACCCCAGAAAGTCCCTTGAGAGTCCACTGACTCTTGGACATGGCAACCACTGCTCTGATTTCCATCATAACACATTGCCAGCTCTGGAATTTCAAATAAATGGAATCACATTATGTGCCCTTTTGTATCTGGCTCTCAGCTTAGCATAATGTTTGTAAGATTTACCCATGTTGAAGTGCATGTTAGTAGTTCATTTATTGTTGAGTAATAATCCAGTATTTTGATATATTACACATTGTTTCAGCATTTTCCTCTAGGTGGGGCTTTAAAATTTCCATTTTGGAGTTTTAATGACAAGTCTTCTATGAACATTTTTGCACAAGCCTTTTTTTGAACATATGTTTTTATTTCTCTTGGATGAATATCTAAAAGTACAATGTCTGGGTCATATGGTAAGTACATGTTTAACTATTTTAGAAGAATCTGCCAAACTGTTTTCCAATATGGCCACACCATTTTACATTTCCATTAGCAATGTCTCACATCCTCACCAGCATTTAGTAGTGTCAGTTATTTTCACCTTAACCCTTCAAAGAGCAGAGTACCAGTACTTCATTGTGGTTTTAACAAGCATTTTACTGATGTGATCTAGGGAATTTTAAAAGAGGCTTCAAGAATCTTTCTGTCTAGGCCAGTCACTTTCCCACTCCCTAACCCACCCTTACCTGGCATGGTGCACATAGAAGCAATGGGATCTGGATCTACTTTATTCACTGTACAGCCCTTGAACCTGGAATCCAAAGCAGTGCTGGACACATGGGAGCCCTTCCCTGAGAAGTGCACACTCCAGATCAGACCAGATCTGTAAAGGCCAGAGAGTAAATAATTGAGGACTTGTAGGCCACATGGTCCCTTGTCACAGTGCTCACTCTGCCGTGGACATATGAAGGCAGCATAGACAGAAGGTAAACCAGTGAGTTTGACTGTTCCAATCACACTTGATGTATGAACACTGAAATTTGAACTTCACATAATTTTCACATGTGAATTACTACTCATGTTTTTTATGTTTTTAATCATTTAAAAATGTAAAAAGTATTCCTAGAATGAGTGCCATACAAAAACAGGGCCACATTGGGCTGAGGCTTCAGTTTGCTGCCCCTCTATAGTTAAGT